CAGCAGCAGCCACCACAACAGACTCAGCGGCCGCAGCAGCAGAAGCAGCAGCAGCAGGGAGCAGTGGGCTCTGGGGGTGCTGGTTCTGGGGGTGCTGGTGTTGGAGGTGTTGGTATTGGGGGTGTTGGTTCTGGGGGTGCGATTTCTGGGGGTGCTGACTCTGGGGGTGCTGGTTCTGGGGGTGCGAGTTTGGGGGGTGCTGACTCCGGGGGTGCGAGTTTGGGGGGTGCTGATTCTGTGGGTGGTGTGTCCGAGGGTGCTAGTCTTGGGGGTATTGTTTCGAGGAGTGCTGGTGGTAGTTGTGGTGCCGTTGGAGGTCCTAGAAAGGACAGGGAGCAGTTGCAGCCGCAGCAGCAACAGCAGTCGCGGCCACCGCAGCAAGAGCAGCCGCAGTCTGCCCTTCGTCTCCTTGGTCTTGCTCTAGTTTCCCCTGTCCGCCCCCCCATTCCCCCTCCTGTGCGTGACCCTGTTTATGGCTCGTTGTTCCCTCCTCCAGACTCCTCTCCGACTCGTTTTCCCCTGCGCTCCCCTCCGTCCCCTGACTTGTCCCCTATTCCCCCTCATCCCCAGTCTCGATTTCTTCCCCAATGGGTCCGTCACCCCTCTGGTGCTTGTCCCGTCTCTCCCCATCCTATTGCCCACCCTATGGTCCTTCATTTGCGTGCTCCTCTAGTCATAGTCCTCCCGTTGCCTCCCCCGTCATCGCTCCCGTTGTCCCCTCCTCCTCGCTCCAACGCTGCTTGCACTGCTCGTCCAGTATTGTGCCTGCTTGCGTCGCTTGTCGCTGCTGTCACTGACTTTGCTGCAAGCCACTGCCTTGACTACGCTGCCACTCTGGTCTCTTGTAGTGCTCATCCTCCGTCCGTCGGGGGTGCATCTGCCCTTGGCCATGACGTGCTAGAGGATAGGCAGTACAATTTGGCCTACCTTGCTGCCGCTGTTCCCCATCTCTGCTCCATGCTTGTATCCCCACAGGGCGACCCAGATGCTCTCGACATCCCTGTTCCGTGCTCTTACACTGAGGCAGTATCAGGACCCTGGGCAGCCCAGTGGATACAGGCCATGGAGGTTGAGATATCATCCTACAGATCCACAGGCACTTACGTCGACGCAGTTGCCCCGCCTGGGCAAGGTCAGCAGCGTGATCTGCATCAACGTATCCAGTCAGTCGAAAATTTGGTGCAGTGTTTGTCGTGTAGCTGATGCCGATTGTAGGAGTAGAAATGAAATATTGGAGGGCTCTATGAAGATCGGCCATATTCTCCCCTTCAGGTTGGCGCAGGTACTGTGCGAGCTGACTCATGTTGTAGGCAAGATCCGGGCGGCATGTAACTGCTGCAAATAGAAGACACCCGAGCTGCTGCTGGTAAAGCTGATTCTCGGAGGCAGTAAGTGGGGTAGTATCAGGTGTGTGATCAGCCGAAAGGTGACAAAATGGAGTGGTGAGGCCGATAAGAGCGATGGCAAACTTTTTCGCAAGTGTTTCTATGTACTTGCTTGCAGAAAGGTAGATGGCATCGGGGCCGCAGTCAACGTTTAACCCAAGAAATTGGGTGACGTTGGAGGAAATAGTTACTTCAAGAATCGTTTGGATTCTTTCCTCCATATGTGCCAGAAGACTGTTGCACGAGCCGGTGTCCAGTAAGTCGTCCATGTAGGCAACTAGAAGAATGTAATGCCCCAAAAATTCGAGTTTGTACATTCTAGGATCGTGGGGCAGCTGCACGAAATCGAGTGAAATCAACACTTTGTGAAGATGCTGCTGCCACATGCGAGGAGCCTATTTGATATCGTAGAGTGATTTATGTAACTTGCAGATGTGAAGTCCGTCGCCGTAAGTGTGAGGGAGTTCGACGAAAATATATGCATCGATGTCTACGTATAAAAACGCATTTTTAACGTCCAGTTGGCAAAATGGAAGGTGGCAGCTAGCATCAATGGCGAGAAGAATTCGAACTGAGGTATGTCGGCTGACTAGAGCGAAGGAACATAGGAGTTGAACAATATTCGGGCAGATAATATTCTTCGGCTGCATCTGCTTCGTCTTCAGGAGTGGCGAAACTCCGTTCGGCACTGTAGCAGCCAGGATCCCGCTGCAGGCGTTTCTTCTCGCGTTCAAAGTCATTGAGAAAAAGTTTCTCATAGAAGACGTAGTCTCGGGCATACAAACCTTTCGAGTTTTGTAATCCATAATCATCCAAGAATAGGAATCCTTGGGTACACCAAGGTGTATTCCCCAACGAGCCTGTTTAGTAAATCTGCCCACAGATGCGCTCGGAGGTCTGAATTGGACCATGCAGCCCCGAACTCGTAGAAGTCGAGTATTGGCGGGGTGTTTTGTCCACATGACGTGTGGCGAGCTGAACTGAGGAAGAGCTGTTGAAGACAAGCAGTTGTGTAGGCGCACAGCTTGTGCCATCGCAAACGGCCAAAAGTCAACTGTCAAGCTGGACTGTTGCAGTAGCATGCGGATCTTCTCTTGCAGCATTCTATTAGTTCTCTCAGCTACTCCATTCTGGTGATGCGCGTAAGGCACAGTCTTGCGCCTGCGTATTCCTTTCCACGCCAGAAATTCATCGAACTGCTCGCTGGTGTACTCGCCCGCGTTGTCTGTCTGGATCTCTTTCAGCTTGATGCCGCTTTGCCAACCGCAATTTTCAGCCATAGTTTGACGGCGTCAAGAGCTTCAGACATGTGAGAGATATTTTTGTGCTAGACGTATCGAGTAGCACAGTCGAAAAAGGTAATTATATAGTGGTAGTCGTTGCCGCTCATATCCTCTGCTTCCTGCGGCATGAAGAGTATGTCACTGAAAACGACATCCATAGGTGAGTACATTGTAGCACTTGGAAAGTGCGATGGGAATGGAGCATGACTGAGGTGAGCTCCGGGGCAGATGGCAGGGCAGTTGACAACTGCTAGGTCGAAGCTCTTGGCCGTTGGTTAAAAGGAGAGCGTCCTTGTAAAAAACCGAGGCTTTAATTGAATTGTTAAGAGCTTCTTGCGATGGATGACCTAATCGCTTGTGCCAGTTTTATGCTGTAGTCCTGTGTCCCTTTGAACGCAGGTACAAGTCGGAGTGAAGGAAGAAAGCCGGCGAAAGATGAATCGTTGGCTCAGAGTTGACGCAGCGGCCGGTGCTGAAAGGCTGGATGAACCCGGATTATTTTGCATTTTCAACCCAAGGTATGCCGAGGTGTCGGCAACGCGCCCAAGCATCAGGTACGATTAACTCTGTCTTGCCCCGTGTACATTCAACCTCCATAGGTTCTTCGACTGTAGCAGATGTCGGTTCTTGATTGTCGTATCACCAATTTCCATCTACAGATGCCCATGTACTTTGAATTGTTTCTGCTGATGCTGATGCTGCTTCTGTTGGCTCTTCTGCAGGTTCGTCGAGGGAGTTGGTGCGAGAAGGCTGAGGCATGACGCAGAAGACATTCAGACCACGATGGTCTTGGCGTTGGAGATCCGTTTCCTAATGATGATGCCAAGGAGCAAGTGAGATATCCTTCTCACTGTCGCCAGGTGCCTTCATAGGTGAAAATTGTAAAACAGAAATACCGTCTTTAATTTATGCGATGCCGACTAAATTACTTTTGTCTTCCTTCTTGTCACCCATGTACAACTCCATGAGCATCGTGTTGGCGGTGCTGATGAAGCAGATGCCATTTTCCATTAGCTGCGCCTGTGATAATAGGTTGAAGCCGAGTCCCGTGGAGACGAGAACCTTATTAAGGTGAAGTGAAACTTCGGTGTCGTCGGACTCTAGTATCACATCTCCAATTCTGGTGGCTTTAATAACTTGGTTGTTGGCCACAGTGATATTGTATTTTTCTCCGTTTGGCAGGTCTAGCCAGTTGAGGAGATAGCGACTTGAAGACGCCATGTGGTGATCGCAGTAGCTGTCAAGAAACCAAGTGTTAACATGCTCGGGATACATACGCTTGACCATGTGGGAGTATGGCTGCACGTTCAACCGTCAAGGAAACCCGTTCGGCTGCTGTGTTTCTTCTTCATTAACGAACTGTTGGTTCTGGAGTTTCTGAACGAGGGCGAAGATGTGGAGGTAGGTTGGCTGCTACTTCTTCCATGTCAGTATCGTTGTCTTCATTGTCTCGTCGGCTCAAGTAGCATATACCACTAGGCCAGTGTGGTCTAATCATGCAATTAATGATTGCCTTGCCTTTTTCAGGATGAGTTGAAGAAGCTGAAGACAGCGAGATAGTCTTGACAGGGGCGGCTTCACCCGACTTCTCCCGATTCCTGTTCTTCAGTTTCTGACACTCTTTTATATTGTGACCTGCTCATTTGCAGAACTTGCACAAGCCCTTTCCTCCTTTTCTTGTCTGTTCCCCTTGACTTGGTCCACCTGTATAGAAGCTTAATCCACTCTTGGCATTGCCTCCTTTTGTGTTGTACAGGTCCAAGTCCTACTGCTCTGCCATCAGAGTAGCGCATTGAGAATTTTCTGAGATGTTCCCTTGGGAACGAAGAAGGGACTTGCACTGCCTCCATTCGGGGTCCAAGTCCAGCCAGAAGAACAGTGACGAAGAGCTCATTGCTGAGATTTTCTCCGCACTTGCCAAGCTGGTCCCGAAGCTTTCTGCACCTCTTGATGTAGCTACCGGTTTTTTCTCCCCGAAGCATTTGCATTGCTGTAAGTTGACTTAACAACTTGCTCTGTGAAACGGAATCTTGTGCTTGATACAACCTTTGCAGGTAATCCCAGGCGTAGAAGGCTGGAGCGAATGAAGGTTTGAAGCACCGAAATCCCAACTGCTCTTCAGGTGAGAGATTCCGCACTAGTAGTGTATAGGCCATAAGCAAATACTTAGAGTAATGCACCTGTTCTTCGGTTGTTCCTGTCTCTCGATAACGGATTGAACCGTCAAAATATACCCAGATACCAGAAGATTGCGTGAGGAGTTCGAACTCAAATCCCCAAGTATAGAAGTCGCGGCCATCAAAGTAAGTTGAGGTCTTCAGCTTGGAGATAGTTAGGGAAAACCGTTTGATTTACAACTACTTCTGCAGCGAATGGTCTTTCTTCTGCCATTTGATGTTGTTGCTGCTTTGGTTGTTGTTGTTGTTGTTGTTGTTGTTGTTGTTGTTGTTGTTGTTGTTGTTGTTGTTGTTGTTGTTGTTGTTGTTGTTGTTGTTGTTGTTGTTGTTGTTGTTGTTGTTGTTGTTGTTGTTGTTGTTGTTGTTGTTGTTGTTGTTGTTGTTGTTGTGGTTTAACAGGTCGCCCATGGAAGGCAAAAGACCCAGCGGATTCATCTCCAGGGGCTGAAGGCCTAGCGACAACAGCAGCTCTTGCATAACTAGAAATATCAAGGCTCATAGAAGTTGTAGGATGCGCAGGAGCTTGTTTTTGTTGCTGAGTAGACTGATTAACCATAAAGGAAGCAAAGTCAGATAGATCATAAATAGAAAGACCAGAACTACGAGGATTCGTAGTTGAATATCCTGTCTTAGCAGCTGACATAATTATAGATCTATGACTTAAGCTCAAGGGCGTTATCGAAATCAGCTTGTATAGGTTCCTGTGACTCCACTAGCTCTGAATACCATGTAGAAGTGAACCATGTGTTTAGGGTGGCCAGGATCTAGAGTTGGTGGAACCACGAGTAAAAGTCAGCGGAAGACTTTACACCTTGTATTGGAAATGTCTGAAATGACAAGGATAATAATAATGAGTAATACAGGCATATTTAAAGTCTAGGAAGTACCTATTCGGAATGTACCGGTTCGTAGTGTATCGCGACTATTCGCGTGATATGACTAGTCACTGTTCGTGTGACTGAGAGTGGCGTGACCCTTCGGGTGACTATACACGCGAACCTATTGTTTACGCGTTGACTTGCTACTGCTGACGTCATCACGCGCGTCTTTCCATATGAGGTATCGTGCTACTAGTACGGTCTAAGTGTAATATGAGGAATGCAAAAGTAAACTCTGTCGAGTATACTTTAACATTACCTTCACCAAAGGCCACACTAGTAGTGCTGCCCTAGTTTGGTAAACTCTGCCACAACCTAGGTTAGGGGGTGTGTCAACAAACATTTTGTTCTGTCTACACATATCTAGTTAGTTTGGATATGTTTGTTATAGCTTAGCTAGGTCAGTTCTTAGAGGGGACAATATTTTGTATTTGTATCTCCCCTCCCCTCCTCCTAGTCACACTTTTTCCTACTACTCTAACAATAGTTGCCATGATAAGCAACAGCATTGATTCTAATATGGACACGTCAGCTTACAACAAACTAATCGTATGTGGTATGACTTCCTACCTTAGTGGCAAGTGTTTGAATGTTCTAAGAGACGAATGTATCCTTAGAACCTCCTCCTAGAGTCTAGGATCCTTGGGAACCAAGCTGGACATGTTCTATTCTTAGGAGGCACCATCGAATCAAGGAAGTTAGCTTCAACCAAGTCACCACCAGCCCTAAAGGATCTAGGAGTTTACCCTCTATGAGCATTCTCAACCCATCCAACCAAAGTACGCTACACTACCCACTCTATAATCTAACTCCTATACGTGTTAATTGGAGCAACCTAAATTCTCCCATAATTCCAACACCCTCCCTTGCTCCAATAAGCATCAGATCCAATATCCATTCAGAATATATCTCCTCTTGCAAGAGATGCCTTGGCCACTTCAGTCTTCACCCTCAAGTCGATGCGCTTAAGGTCTGCATTTAGCTTTAAGCCTGGAAGAGCTTTGGTAAGCATGTCGGCATCTTGGAGATGAGAGCGCACCGACTGCACCACAACCTCCTGCTGGCGCACCGCATCGCGAACAAAATGCCAAGCCACATTGATATGCTTTGTGCGCTAATGGAGTACGGAATTATGAGCAAGGGAAACAGCTGACTCATTATCACACAGCAATGGAATCTCCCCCCCATCACCCACACGCATCTCAGCCAGCAAGTTCCTCAACCATATGGCCTCCTTGGCCCCCTCGGATAGCACCTTGTACTCAGCCTTAGTACTGGTGCAAGCGACATTGTCTTGCTTCTTGCTGTACCAAATGATAGCCCCCCCACCCAGCTTGAAGAGATATGCCGCACAAATCTTTCTGTCTGCCTCAGCCGCCCAATCAGAGTTAGTGTACCCAATGACTTGCTCACCACCCTGTCGCTCATACCGGATCACCTGGGTGGCTGTGTCGACCAAATACCTTAGTGCTCTCAAAGCAGCACACAAGTGAATGCACCTGGGTGCAATACGTGAATGCGCCAGTGTGTTGACAATGAAAGAGAGGTCAGGACGATTGGTCACAGCAGCAAACATAAAACTACCGATGAGACTCTGGTATACCTTGACGTCGGCAGGCAAACCTTTGTCGGCAGACCATGTACCGTTCCTTATCTTAGTGAGATCATTTGGTGACATAGGAGTATGCACCCTATGAGTCTTCTCCAACTGATCACCAAACCTGACCTGAAGTCCACGGACATACTTCTCCTGCCCAATGTCTAGCCATCCACCCTCACGCGACCTGCGTACTTCCACCTGAAGGTACATAGACACCTCACCGAGATCCTTCATTTGGTACACGTCGGCAAGGGTTTTCTTGGCCTGCTCGATCAAGTCCAGGCGTAGGGAGACAAGTAAAAGGTCATCTACATACACCAGCACATACACAGAGTCCTCATCCACGAATCGGATGTACAGAGCCTTGTCACATGCACTGGGACTAAACCTTGCAGCTACCAGCGTGGCCCCAATCTCCTCGTTCCAAGCACGAGGTGCTTACTTAAGTCCATAAAGGGCCTTTTGCAAGTGGTACACCCCCCCTGTACCATCATCAAAGCCCTCAGGCTGCCTCACATACACCTCGTCTCGCAGGGGTCCATTTAAGTAGGCATGGTTGACATCCTCCTGATGTATATGCCAACCTCGTACCGCTGCTTCTGCAAGAAGCACCCGACCTGAGGCCAGTTTGCCGGCAGGGGCAAACACCTGATCATAATCCTTGTTAGGCTCGTGGGTATAACCTTTAGCAACAAGGCGAACCTTGTGCTCTAACACCTTGTCCTCCTGATCCGTCTTTCGGCGGAAAACATACTAGGTACTGTATCAATGGCCTTTTTACCTGGAGGCAAGTCAACTGGCTCAGGATCCCACACCCCCATCGTGCTCATGGCACCTACCTCCTTGTTAGCCCCAGCATCCCAAGATGGACCCTCAGGGCCACTCTTTGCCTCAGCTAGTGTGCGCGGCAGATCACCAGTGCTCACACCTGCTAGCGCTACACCCTCCACCTTCTTGGCCAAGCAAAGCATGCCCACACCTGCACCAGCATCCCCCCCTACCTCCTCACCACCCAAACTGACCGGATACCAAGGACCTGCAAACCTATCACAGGTGGTGGGGAGGGAGTTTCTGGTGCTCCAAACTCACTAGCAGAGGGAAGAGGTGGGCTCAGGCCAGAAGAGGGGGAGGTGGAGGTAGGTGTCGCGGCACTGCGTCGAGGAACGGAATCGCCAGGCTGTGCCAATATACTCGCCGGTGCCGACACACTCGGCGGTGCCGACACTCGCGGGTGGGCCGACAATGGAGGCATGTCGGCAGAATATTCCTCTGCTCCAGGGCGCTCTAGGGGGAGTGGAAGGAGCTGAGAGATGGTAGCAGCATCTTGCCTCATTTCCCCAAAGGCTTTGGCTGTCTCCCAATCCTTCCACATTACATTCTCGAGGAAGTCGACATCTCGAACAATGCGGCTGCGCATGAGAGAAGGGTCCAGCATCCTCTATCTTTACTCTCCATGTCCACCCCGAGACAGACACACATAGTAGTCCTTGCATCCAGCTTCCCAACTCAAACCTGTCCATGCAACATGACACTCCCCATGCAGCCCAAACCCGAGCCATGCCAACATGCGGCTTAGTGCCTGACCAGGCCTCTATAGGAGTGATGAGGGCTGGCAATGCACTGTGGGGTACCCGATTCTTGACCCACACCACCCACATCAGGGCCTCACCCCACAGGCGCGCCGGAAGTCCACTGTCGACGAGCAAGGTGCGAATCCCCTCTGCCATTGTCTTGTGCCACCGCTCTACCACCCCATTTTGCTGCGGCGAGTCTGCTACAGCTAGATGAGTTTGAATGCCAAACTCACTCTTCCATGCCGTCACAGCTTCCCCTAGAAATTCACCACCCCTGTCTGAGCGAATCGCTTTCAGCTTTCGCCCTGACTCCCTCTCCACATCCTTGTGCCACGTGCGAAGGACCATTGCCACCGTGGCGGATTCCTTGTTAGGTAATGGAAACCCCCAGATCCGCCTGGTGAAGTCGTAAATGAGGCTGACCATGTACACCGCTCCTCCCAAGGACGGAGTGCGCACAGGCCCCCACAAGTCCATGTGAACCTCATCAAGTGGTGCAAGGGCTCGTGTTGCCTCATGAGGAAACGACTTCCTTGCCGACTTCCCAAATAGGCATGACTCACAAGGAGGGTAATCCGCAGCTGCTCCCCCGATATCCAACCCAATCACACTGCTGCCCCTAGCCATCTACTGTAGTGTGGTCGGCGCGGTATGACCAAGTCGGCGATGAGCAAGTGTGAGAGGAGAGAGGGAGGTGGATGGGCGAGCTCCGAGAGCCTTGCCTTGAATACCTCGAGCTAGTGGAAGCGACATCCGCATGAGCCCATGATCCCTTCCACCCTCCTTCTCTCTTGTCGCCAACACTTGCTCCCCCCTTTTTAGCACACATCTCGTCCCCTCAAACAAGACTGTGACGCCTCTCGAGGTGAGATGTGGGACAGACAATAGATGAGTGTGCAACTTAGGAACATGGTGTACCTTTTGCAGCCTTAGCACTTGACCACCTTCACTGACCACAGATACCTCTACCATGCCTTTAGCAGCAACCTCTCTTCCATCGCCCAATCTCACTCCCTTGATCTCAGGTGGGCCCAGCTCACATTTGAAGTCAGTCGCATAGGGGGTGAAGTTATGGCTGGCTCCACTGTCAATCCACCACCCATCTCGCGGTTGCTTCCCTGCCCCTGACCGCTGCCCTTCTGTTGTCACTGCCTCCCCGATTGCTATCTCTGCTGAATCCTCCTGCTTCTCTTCATCCACCACTTGTGCCTTCCTGTTCCACAAGCCACGCTACAGGTGGAGTTCCTTCACCCGCTTGTATACCTCAGCTGCGCATGCAGGACTACGAGTGATAGCCCTCGGCTCCCCGTCGGCAGCAGCGTCGGCAAGCTCGGTTTTGCCGCCAACTTCATGTACCAAGTGAATCAACTCATCCGGTACCAAGGCATTGCAAAGCTGAGCATATGCCTTTTGGTTTTTCCTGTCCCACTTCTTCCGTGCATCGCCCGAGGTTGGTCGCTCCTCCGAACCATCATAAAATCCCCAAATGTCATGTGCTTCCGCCCATTGCTCAAACCGGAAGCTCCAAGTCCAATAATTATTCCCATTGATCTTTGGCGCGCACTCCCATTTCTTAACATCATTCTCCTGCTCCATGCCCGGCGTCACCGTCGGCGGCAATGTCGTCAGCGGCGGCGGCGGTGGGACCGTCGTCCGCGACAATGGTGGCGGCGACAAAGGCAAACTGGCAGTGACGAGGGGGGCGGCGACGGCTGCAACTGTGGTGTTGATGTCGACAGGGGCGATGTCGGCAGAGCCACCCCCTCCTAGATTATGGAGCGTAACTCCAAGCTCCAATCTCCGAATGACAATCTGTCTATGGCTGCTGAATCCTTACTCCAAGGGCTTTACAACAAAGTATTGCACATTTTGTTCCCACGGTTAGTTTTGGCGCTCAAGTGTTCCGAAGTTTGTCGACTTGTTGTCGGCAAGTCGACCAGGTTGTTTGAAGGGAGATTTCATGATGCTGCCGCCGCTGTTCCTCCCAATTTTTTGCTTGTTGGATGCACACTGACGTCCTCTATTGGCGCCTGGGATTTCCCCCCTTTCTCCCGGTCGCGATCTGCGACTATTCGCGTTCTCCCAGATTCTTCCGCATTTCTGTCACCGACTGAATTTCTTGATTTTCGCCTCATCCGCTTATCAGATGGTGACGACCTCAAGGTAAATGTTGTAGATTGTGTTGTGCTCTTTCCAACGATGTGCTAATCGTCTCCAATGCTTGTCGTTGACAGAACACCCTTGAGAGAAGATGCCGCTCTTCTCGTCCTCCCAAGCGGATCAAGATGTCGTCCTGCGTGTTTCTCCTTCCCTTCACCGGTGCCACGTCCAAGGTCCATCACGATGATCTACGGTGCGATTTCGGCAGCCCTTCGGGATCGGTGGAAGCCCGTTTGCTTCCACCAAGGATTGAAACTCTGTTTTGCGCTAGGTCGCTCTTCCCATGGGTCACTAGACTCCCCTCAGCTCTGATACCATGTTAGAATGTTCTAGGAGACGAATGTATCCTTAGAACCTCCTCCTAGAGTTTAGGATGCTTGGGAACCAAGTTGGGCATGTTATATTCTTAGGAGGCATCATCGAATCCAAGAAGTTAGCTTCAACCAAGTCACCACCAGCCCTAAAGGATCTAGGAGTTTACCCTCTAGGAGCATTCCCAACCCATCCAACCAAAGTATGCTACACTACCCACTCTATAATCTAACTTCTATAAGTATGTTTACTAGAGCAGCCTACTCTCAGAAACTTAGGAGTCTAGGTTCCTAAAGTTAGGACACTAGCTTAGCTAGGAATGACGCCATGGGATGGTGGGAGGAAAGTAGATCTAGGAACGTGAGTAGTTAGGAGAAATGTCGAGAAGAAAAGTGTGGTTGAAAAGAAGACAGAGGCATACAAGAAGGGGTGTTGTACCCTCTACAGCAGTATTCAGTAATCGTATACCAAGCCTATGAATTATAACTTAAATAATTTTAACACCTACGTACTCCCATACTTCCAACAGCAAGAACTAGTTGGAATCACAATAAAGGCCGAGAGAGTTGATTGTGGAGTCAGTGTTCGTACTCTAATCGATATTGGTGGTTTGGGTTCCATCCTCTACCGTGTAACCACTTTATTCTTATTTCATCGACAAGCATGTTGCATAAGCATTGCACGATGGGTTTCAAAACTCAATCCAACACGACCTTCTCATCACCATCCATATCTCGCAACAGGGCCATTAAGTTGCGTATTACCGGTAAGTCGTCAATCCCCTCCGTCTCACTTGCTGCTGGTTCACTATGGCAACACATACCCATGCCGCTCACTCTTGATGCCAAGTTACCATGACCAGATGGGGAGGATGATGCCAATGAGGACACATCCCCACAATCTCGCCCAATAGTACCGCATCCAGCAATGTCAGGAGCAGCAGCACCAGCACCAGCAGCTGCACTGCCAGGAGCACCACATGTATCATTACCATCACCATGAGCAGCAGCAACTTTAATTTCTGGTTTGACCCCGTGCTCTGAGGAATGCTCATGATGGGAGTGCTGGGACAGCTTGGGAGGTTGGTGGGTGCAGATAGTGGCAGGCAAATGGACCAAAGGAGCAGCCGGAGGAGGTTGCGAAGCCAACGGCTGGCTGAAGACGCTTGTAGCCGGGATGGAATGGGTCGCAGCACGAAGGGCAGTTGAGCGCGCGGATTCAATAGCGCGAGATATGCACGATGCATGCTGGAAATAGGGTTTGGGGCAGGGTCAGGGCCAGTGCAAGAATAAGATGGGCACAGGGGAGGGTTTAGAGCTGGCTTGGAACAGAAGAATGCAGGAATGCGCTATCGTGTGAAAGCAAGGGTTTAGGGCTGGTAAGGCAGCTGCACTGGTAGCTGGTGGAATAGCGAATGCCTCAAACAGAACCCTGGCAGCATGCATGATGCATGCCTCAAGAATTAGGCTTGTGACACACAGGCACCTGGCAGGCAACATACCTGCTGCAATAGCGGCCGGATGACTGTGAGGTCCTCAGGGGGCGCGCGCGAGGCCATGTGCAACAGAGTTGCTGCGATCTGCCGCACACAAGACGCGACACAGACGCAGGGGCATGACGTGATCAGCCAGCTTCAAGGAGGGTCAGACATACGAACACGTCATCTGTCATAATGCGTGCTGCCTTGCACATGCCTGGAACCAGATGTGATACACTTGGGAGAAGCACGGGAGCACAAGCCAAGCCAACACCGAGCAGCACCTAGGCACACGCCACGAAAGCAAATTAGATACCACTGCACTCTACAATCTGTCGGATGCATGGAGCATGCAACAGCATCAATATGGGTAGTAACTATCCATTACCTCATCCCAACCTCTATCGCTCAACCCATTACCTGATCGATCTGCACCGCTGCTCCACTGCACTCCCATGCTTGCCCATGCAACACAATGCCATACCTGCTACCTGTCCCACAAGCATTGTCCTCCCCCCGAACCGTACATGATCCATCAGCACCGGCTTGCACCGCTGCTCTGCTGCTACCCTAAACCCCCTGCTCGTCCGACTGTGACATCACTGTTCCGTACACTGCCACACCCGTACACGTGCAACACTACTGCCATTGTGACCGCCACCTAGCCCCACTGGTGTAATCAGCGCGCGCTACCTGCTCCATTCACCCTGGAACCGTATCTGATCCATCAGCACTGGCTTGTACCACTGCTCCACTGCGCTCTGCTGCTCCTCTGATTCATCGAGAGATGCCAGGGACGACACAAGGTCGAGCAGGATAGGAATGTATTCCGAACCATAGTCTGGTGCTCGAGGGAAAGAGGAGAGGGTGCGTGGGTTCGGGGAGGTAGAATGGGTGTTGAGACGGCTCAAACCTAAACTCGTCTCACGCATGGCGTGATGCCAAGGACGACACGAGGGCTACCAGAATGGGAAGTGTATTCCTGGCCATAGCCTGCTCGGGGTCAGCAGGAAAGGCGGGCGGCAGGGAGGGATGAGGGAGCAACAAGGGTGCACAAGGGCTGGATAGGGGGGAATTCCGGGGGAGGAACGGGGGGGGAGAGGTGGGGAGGAGGAGGGGGCGGAGAGAGGCGGGGTGAGGAGGAGAGACGGGAGGGGAATAGTTACGTCTCACAAAATAAGGGAGAACGGAGAGGCGAGGAGTGGGGTGTGCAGGGGAGAGGCGAGGAAACGGGGGAGAGCGAAATGCGGGTCGCTGTTTTTGACACATTAAAGAGTGGGACTGCAATTTTCCAAGGGTTAGAGAAGACTTTTGTGGCTTCAGCAAAATCAAACAGTGGCGACAGGAAAGACTTTAGGGTCAATAAAAAATATAATGTTTTGTTGCCAAAGGTCGGCTTCAACAAGAGCAGATTGTGTTTAGAGAGAAGACCATAGTGGTTTTTTTAACAAAGAGGGTTGCGATTCGATTGTAGTCACCGCCGCCCAAGCAAAAGCAAGAAAACCTGCGCCAGGTCTCACCTGCCCTGTTCCACGGCTGAATCAGTGCGGCCGCAGCATGTATACGGATCTTGAAATTCGACGAACGGGTGAAGAGACTCTGCAATGTGCGCAGGACGGGAGCAGACCTGTTGCCGTGGGGGAGGGGGTGGATGGTAGAAAGAAACCACTCTTAAATATGGACGAAAAGGTGAAAAGGCTCTGTTATGTGCCTCTGTTCTGTTAAGCTCTGCTCGTTGCCATTGCAATTATGATTGGCTTACTGTGGAGAGGACGGGAGATGCACGGAAGGTTTTTGGGAGGAAGAGAGACAATGCTGTGCACACGCTCCATTGCACCTGTGCATGGTAGAGAGGGGGGAGAAAGGAGAGTGACAGCGAGAAGAGTGAAGGGGAGAGAGGGAGAGGAAGAAAGAGAGAGAGAGAGAGAGAAGAGAGAGAGAGAGAGAGAGAGAGAGAGAGAGGAGAGAGAGAGAGAGAGAGAGAGAGAGAGACGTGCACACACTCCATTGCACAAGAGTCAGGGTCATGGATGATGGGGGGGGAAGGGGGATAGCGAGGAAGGAGCGAGGGAGGGAGTTAGAGAGTGAAAGAGGGCCATTCGAGAATGGACAAGCAAAAGAGAGGGGGACATGCACACACTCCACTGCATGTGCTCGAGAACAAAAAGAAAGAACATGAGTGGAAGGCGGAAAAAACGGTGAGGAAAAAAGTGGAAAAGCCTAGTGTTTCCCCTACTCAACTCCTGCCCCCAGCACACACTCTTGGAATGCCGTTACTCACCTTGGGGTTTGTCTGTACTGCGCATGACAATATGGCCTCCACCGCACGTCCCTGCCACACGCCCCCCTCCTCCCCCCCCCCGTCTGCTGCGCTCCAGCTTCCCGCAATTCTGTGGCGGCAACTCCGTCGCTGCTGTCACTGTTTGCACCGCTTTCGCTGGACAACCTGTTCGAGCCACAGGTTACAATGCCCGTGCCGCTGCTCACGGTAATCCCCGCAGAAGCAGAGCAGCGGCGGCAGAAGCAGGAGGAGCGGGCGAGAGCACCCAGTAGCCGAACTGCGCTGGCTCTGACCTAAGAGGGGTGGGAGAGGGGAGGGGAGGGAAGAGAGAAGGGGGAGTGGCGCAAGAGAACCTAACAGGAAAGCGTTGGTTCTGACCTAAGAGGGGTGGGAGGGGGAGAAAGGTGCACATGAAATGGGGGGGGGTGGGGGCCGGAGGAAAAAAAGAGAAAAGTACGATCAAACTTCAATGGGTAGAACCTGGAAATGAAGGGGGAGGGAAGATGTAAGACCGCCACACACGGACACACACACACAGATAAACACATATATGGGAGTGAAGATGATGGAGACGACTATGGGATTGGGGAATTCGTTCTCTACCAGTCATTCCTTGTTATTTGTTATAGTCACAATAGGCTCAGATGTGCCAATAATGAGAGATAGAGAGCACAGTCGGATTTCCGTCAGACGGCTTCAAATATTGATAACGATCTGCTCGCTGACTTAAACGGTTTTCTGTAAATGGTTTCTGCAGGACGTTACTGTCGTCTATCAGCAGCAAGTTGAATCATGAAATTCCATGAAGATTTGACGACGCTATGGCGGTTTGACTGGCAGGAGGTACAGCAGCCACTATAGTCTTAGGAGTACAAAAAACATAGGAAGAAGAATTCGAGAGGGAGGATGGTTCCCAGCCTCTACATACCCCAAGAGCCGAGGTCCAGGTTGGTGGTACACCACCACAGAGTCCCCAACCACGAAGAGTCTCGAAACCAACCCTCCAAGGGGCTACACCAAGTGAAATGTAACACTAGACGAAAGTAGCGTTACTATTTCACTATTTTATATTTATCCGCGTCCCCTTGGGCTTGAAATCTGGAGCTCTTGGTCTTGGTTCTGCAAGATAAATTCTCCTTGAGTTGATGGGGGCTTGCCTGTACACACCTGCGACGCGATGGACACTTCACACTCGACAAAATATAAATAACACATGCGATACGCAAACGACGACTTGACATGCGAGTTGTAAAACTCGCTAATGTCTTGACCGACACAAACCACATTGTATACACCATTCAAACACACACACGAGCATTAGATAGCAATGACATAGACTCACAGTTCATTCCATGCCATGCATGCACACACACAAGCAAGGACGACAAGCCGATGCAAGCCTTAGGGTTGCACCCAACATCATTGTCGCCCGCCCCTCTCACTGCAGCATTGGCTAGGGCTTCAACACTCCAATTCACTCCCACCAGACATTCAGCTCTTGAGCATGCTTATAAGGAGTATGGGGCACGCCAGTGCACTGCACACCATTACAGTGCACGCTGCTACAGTGCAATGTGCTACAGTGCATGGGCCGGCCAGTCGCTCTGAGAGATTGGCCAGGGACCACATTGCAGCTGAGCGGACCTGAGAACGAGAAGATGGAGGGTGGGGGGGGGGGGGAGGGAGAAGGGAAAGGAAGAAGGATGGGTGTGATGTGAAGGGGGATAAGGCGCAAGGTGGGAATATATAAGAACAGACAGGCGCATGCATGCAGAAAGAGGAAGTTGGAGCACTTAAGCAGACTGCAGCGTGTGACGCGACGCGATGCAAAGCTTCCCACATGAGAAGGTCTCTCGAATGTTCACTCTCTGTCGGTCAAGGTGCTCACAATGAGAGACGGAGACGAGCAGGCTTGCAGCAGCAACACTCCCCCATGGATGAAAAGATGTACGGTGGAGGAGGAAGAGGAGGAAGAGGAGGAGGGGGAGGATGATGATGATGAGGAGGAGGACATGTTCAAGTCTCGCTCCCATCTAGGAGGCATGAGGTGCAGCAGAATGGTTCCAAAGAGTTTCATGAGAGCGGCTTGCACTGCTGGCACGGACTCGCTTGCTGCAAGGGGCGAACTGAGGGCGAAAGGAATGGCGGAGGGGGATCAGAGAGGAAGAAGAAAAAGAAAACGAGTCATACAAGAAAAGAAAAGAAACTCAAAGGGGGATACGGTGCAGCTTCGTCCCCTCCCCAGTTACGTTCTTCTTTACGTCTCGGAAAACGAGCGGTTCCTTGCTGGCATGGTCAAACGCATGGCAGAGCAGCAAGGCGCGGACCTCACAGGCAGAGAAAGTGTGTGGGATAGGCATGTGCGGTTTGGAGAGGTGGGCACTAGACATGAGCAAAACCGGGTAATACCCGACCCGACCCGGTTTTGCCCCTACCCGCAATCTGTCCGGGTCAGTCGGTCGGGTAATTTCCGATAATGTTTGGAGGTCTTTACCCGACCCGACATTTCCTTACCGATAATTGGGATACTCGTCTGGCGGTCGGTATACCCGACCCGCATTTAATTGAAGTCGGGTAATATTACCCGGGTACCCCTAGGTGGCTGTAAATTTCAGCAAACCCAGAGTAACAAACCAAAGTGGGGTTCGGGTACCTGCGACCCGACGGGTAATAAATTACCCGACATTTCGGGTAATTCTCGGGTCACGGTATGCATTACCCGGCCCAAGTACCCGACCCGACCCGGTCGGGTTAATTCGTCAAAATCCTATTACCCGACCCGGCCAAAATGCGGGTCAGGTCGGGTACCCGCGACCGACCAGGTAAAAATGCTCAAGTCTAGTGGGCACGTGCAGCTTACCATTGGCTGGAAGATGACGTCATGCATGTGGACAGGTACTGCCAGGGTGGGTGCTGGCATGTGCAAGAAGCACGTGAGCACTGCTATGCGCACCTGAGGGAGGGGAGGGAGGGGGGGAAGGATTTAGGGGATAAATGGAGGGAGAATGGAGGGAAGGAATGGTGAGTATGAAAGATGATTTGAGGAAGGCAGGGGTGGGTGGTGGGATGTGCAGGGAGCATGTGAGCACTGCTATGCCGACCTGGAGAGAGCAGCAGAGCATGACGGTGGAGAGGGAGAAGAGAGGTGACTAGGAAACATAGTAGAAAAAAGGTAGAGGAGGTGGGTGGGGATGTGCACGAAGCATGTGAGCGATGCTATGCTATGCGGACGTGACAGGGAGGGCGAAGGGAGTCGGGGGGAAGGGCTGAGGAGAAGAGAAATGGCGAATAGAATGGCTCTACAAAACGGTACTACAGGAATGGCAAAACCGTACCCGGACCCAGTGCTATGCTCGCCACCTCCTTGAAGGCTTAACTCCTGCCTTCGACACCCATAAGATTGCCTACATGCAGCTGATTGACAAGCGCATCACCCCGGCTGAAGTCGCCCAGTGGATTATCACCACCCGAGGCGACCTCTTGCGCCATTCCTCCTCAACTACCGCTGTTGCTCAGCAGCGCAACACCAGGGGAGGACATGGGGGTGGCGTGGCGCTGGTCGTGGTGGTGGTGCGGGTCGTGGTGGCAAATGGCGCAGGACATGGTGCAGCAGCCGCTTTCCTCCTTGTCAGTATCTCCCTCGCTATGGCCCCACGCGGGGGTCAGCGCTGCGGCCAGACCACTCATGCCACTGATTCTTGCTTCAAAGCGCTCAGTGATGAGTGTTTGCCCGCGCAACACCGGCACCCCCCCCCGCTGTCCTCCCTCTCCCCTCGCCCCACTCCTCAAGAGGTTCATACCTCCCCTCTTTTCCAGCCCGTCTCCTCCCCTTGGCCCACCAGGCCGTTTCTCAGCAACAGGAGCAGCAGCAGACTCCGCAGCAGATCCTACCGCAGCCGTTTCAGCAGCCAGCAGCAGCAGTTCTAGCAGCAGCATCAGCAGCAGCAGTTCTAGCAGCAGCATCAGCAGCAGCAGGGCAGCAGCACCTCTTCTCCCAGTTGCAGCAGCAGCTCCAGCATCTCCAGCAGCAGCTTGACCTCCAGTTGCAGCTCCCCCTTGCACCTCCTCCTATGGCTCCCCCCCAGCAGCCCTACCCCGCTTGGACCGCCGGCACCGCCGCTTCCGCAGCTCACCTCTCGGGCGCGTCTCCCGCGCCTCAGCCACAGGCAGTGTGACTCCTTTCCCCTCCTCTGGTTTTGTTGGCATGGTTAGTCAGGCTGGAACCCCCGCCCCTTCTATGTATTCGGCTGCTATTAATGAGAATGTGATTCAGTACTCCGTCCCACCTCCTCCCCCACATCCTCCCCCTCCACCACGCTGGACTTTGTCCTTGACAGTGGAGCCACCGAGTCCGTCCTTCGTGATGCTGGTACCCTTCACCCTCTCCAGCCCCCACCTCCCTCCTTGGTGCCGATTCCAGCTTCTCTATTCCCTGTCGCCACACCTCTACCCTCCCCTGTCCCCTCTTCCCCTCAGGTACCGTCACTGGTTTACACATCCCCTCCCTCCGTACTAACCTCCTCTCCCAGCGATCCCTGCAGCAGGCCGGTATCACCACCGTCTTCCCAGGTCGCGCTAATCACTGCCTCCTATACCATCCCACAGGTCGCCTCCTCTCCCGTATTCCCTTTTGTCCTCGCTCCCGCCTATATACCCTTCGAGTTCCTCGTCTTCCCTCTGCCCAGGCAGTCTCCCGCTCCCTCCCCACCTCACATCCCTCCCCCTCCTCTCCCTCCTTCTAACCCAACCATTCCCCCCTCCCCCTGACCCAACCTGCTCCTGTCGATCCCTCTCCCATCCCACCGTCCTCCTCCACCACAGGCTTGGTCACCCCAACTTTGCCACCCTCCGCTCGACCGTCTCCTCAGGTCTCCTTCGAGGTCTTCCCCTCACCCTCCCTCCCCTCCCTCCCTCCCTTGCCCCTCCCTGCTCCGTCTGTGTCCAGAGCAAGCTCAAGCAGCTGCCGCATCGGAGTTCCCCCTCCGCTGCTGCTCAGCCGCTTGATCTTGTTCACATGGACCTCTGGGGCCCCAACCCCTCCCCTTCCCGCCAGGGCCATCGCTACATGCTTGTTCTGGTCGATGATCACAGCCGATATTCGTCCGTCTCCCTTCTTCGCTCGAAGGGTGACGCTCCGGCTGCGATCATCGCCTGGCTCAAGCAGGCGAGCACCCACTTTGGCCGCCCTGTGCGCCGCCTTCACTCTGATGGCGGTGGCGAATTCCTTAATCGTCAGGTAGCCTCCTACTGTGAGCTTCATGGCATTCGCCAGACTCACACCCTCCCCCACTCCCCCAGCAGAATGGTGTGGCCGAGAGCCGTGTTCGGGAGATCACCAAGATTGCTCGGTGTCTCCTCGTCCATGCCTCTTGCCCCCCTTCTCTGTGGGGCTATGCCCTCCTTCACGCCACCCTCCTTACTAACCTGTACCCCCACCCTATCCTTCCCTCCACCACTCCCACCGAGCTCTGGACGTCGGCCAAGCCTGACGTCTCCTCCCTCCGTGTGTGGGGCTCCAGGGCGTATGTCCTCATTCACCCTGCGGACCGCCCCCGCACCATGGGAAAGCTCGCCTCCCGTACCCTCCCCTGCATCTTCCTTGGTCATAATCCCTCCTCCCCGGACTACCTCTTCCTTCACCCCCCCTCAGGTCGTTTCCTCCGCAGTCGGGATGTAGTCTTTGATGAGTCCACACCCTACTATTCCACTCCTCCCCCCACTGACCCTCTCGCCCCTGCTCCCAGGCCCCTCAACTGGTCCGACACTATCCCACCCCCTCTTCTCCCTCCCCCTCCCATCCTCCCCCCGCTCCACCTCCTCCATTCCCGCCGCCTCGGTCCCTAGTGCTCCCCCCTCCTCTGGTGACATATTTGACCCTGACCCTTTTTTCCCCCGCCTCCCCGTCCCACTCCTCCCCCTCCGCTCCCTCCTCCTCCCCTCCCCTCCTCCCCCTCTCCCCGCGACCCCCCCCCCCCTGCGTCCCACCCGCTCCATCCTCACCCGGTATCCCACACCAGGTCGCGTGACGCAGTCCTAGGTGCCCCGCCTCCTGTTATCCTCTCTTCCTCTACCTTGCCTCCTCTCTCCCCTCTCATGGACCTCCTTTTTCAGACAGTCTTACAACAAAACACTAGCCCAACCCTGCCGTCGAGCTCCAGTACAGCAGTCCCAACAGCAGCAGCAACAGCTGCAGCAGCAGTTCCACCCACCGCAGCAGCACCAGCAGCAGCAGCCGTCGCTCCTTCCTCGCCTTCACCCGCAGCAGCAGCAGCGGCGGCAGCAGATGCAGCAGTAGCAGCCGCCTCAGCAGCAGCAGCAGCAGATGCATCCTCAGCAGCAGCAGCAGCAGCAGCTGCAGTCCTCCCATTCATTTTCCACTCCTCCCTCCTCGAGGACTCCCATGAGGAGTTCCTCAACCTCCACCTGCATGATCCAGCCCTCCTACCCATCTCCCCTGACCTCAGCGGCACACCAGTCTTCGCCTTCTCCTCCCCCCCCCACCATCTTCGTCCCCGCCACGTACGAGGAGGCCATGGCGTGCCCTGACGCTCACCTCTGGCTCGCGGCCATCCTCAAGGAGTTGGAGGCGTTTATTGCCAACTCCTCCTTTGTGGATGTGCCCCGCCCTCCCTCTACCACGAACGTGGTCAAAGGGAAGTGGGTGTTTCGGGTGAAGCAGCTTCCTGGCGAGCCGCCGGTCTACAAGGCCCGCTACGTCGCCAAGGGCTTCACCCAGCGCTACGCTGTCGACTTCTTCGACACCTTCTCTCCCACCGCCAAGCCCGCTACCATTCGCGCAGTCCTCGACCTCGCCGCTCGCCTCAACATGGAGATTCACTCCATGGACGTCTCCAACGCATTCCTCCAGGGGTCTTGCGCGAGCTCATTTACATGGAGCGTCCTGCAGGCTTCCACCTCCCCTTTCCTTCCGACTCTGTCTGGCAGCTGCGTCGGCCGTCTATGGGCTCAAGCAGGCACCAAGGGAGTGGCATGCCAAGCTTGCTGCCACCCTCGCCGAGCTTGGCTTCAGCACCTCCCGCGCCGACCCCAGCCTCTTCCTCCGCACCTCCCCCTCCCCCTTCTACATCCTCGTCTATGTCGACGATATGATCCTCATCACTGCCGACTCCGCCGAGCTCGAGCGCGTCAAGCGTGAGCTTGGCAGCCGGCTCAAATATAAGGATTTAGGGGAGCTGCAGCACTATCTCAGCATGGAAATTACCCGCGACCGTGCTGCGCGCACCATCTCCCTCTCCCAGGGCCTAAGTGGGCAAATTCGTTGGGGTCCCCCAGCGTTTTGCGTAAATTCGTAAACGTAAATTCGCAAACGCGAATTTACCTGAAATTCGCGAAACGCTGGGGGAAAAATTTCGGGGCAGCCCGGAAAAAAAAACACAAATTTCCCAACTCGATTCGCGGCGACTTGGCGAAGCCATCCGTGGCCTCGCCAATTCGCGATTCTAACTTTTGAACCTCCAAACATGCTCCCAACCCCTCCCACGCTCTCAACCGCATCAAACCCACCGCATGTAGAGATCCCAACCCATCCACTACCCAACTTACGCAACCATATCATGCACGCATCTCACACGCTACTCTACCAGACGTAGAGTAGATCTAGCTTATCACTCCGCGTCATAGCTAGAAGATCTAGTTTAAGCATAGACATTAGCTTACCTCATGAGTATGCAGGGCCTGCCTGGGCATTTTTTTCCTGCCCGGGCGGAACGAATTTCCCAACGAATTCAAAAAGGGCCCTGGCGTTCGGGCGAATTTACGTGAAACGCTAATTATCCCACTTAGCCCAGGGCCACTACCTGCAGCAGGTCCTGGAGCGGTTTGACATGGCTCGAGGCACCCCTCAGGTCACCCCTCTTCCTGTTGGGCACCACCTCACTCCCTCACCCCCCCTCCTCCTCCTCACCCCGACGCTGAGCTCATCGGCTCTCTAATGTATGCCATGGTCTCCACCCGCCCTGACCTGGCATACCCCATCAGCGTTTTGGCCCGCTTCGTTGGTACCGGCAAGCATGATGCCGCCACTGGCAAGCGGCCAAGCGTGTCCTCCGCTACCTTCGGGGGACCAAGGACTACGTTCTTACCCTTGGCGGCCCCTCCCCTCCCCTCCTCACTGGCTACTCTGATTCCTCCTGGGCTGACTCTAGGCCTGACCGCCGCTCCTCTCAGGGCTATGGCTTCTCTCTTGGCAGCGGCCTCATCAGCTGGCGCTCCACCCGCTCCTCCTCCATTGCCCTCTCCTCCTGCGAAGCAGAGCTGAATGCCGCTACCATGGCTGCGCAGGAGGCCAGCTGGCTCTCCTTCCTTCTTGAGGAGCTTGGTGCCCCAGCGCTGTCCCACCATCTGGTGCGACAACGCCAGCACCATCCACCTCACGAAGGATGCTGTGTTCCACGGGCGCTCCAAGCACATTGAGCTTCGCCACTACTTCATTCGCGAGCTTGTGCAGGGTGGCCACCTCCAGCTGGGCAAGATTGACTCTGCTGCCAATCTTGCCGACATCTTCACCAAAGCCCTCCCCCACCGCCGCCACTCATCCCTCCTTCGCCTTCTGGAC